AGGACTAAGGTGGGCCTGACCTAAGCCATGGTATTTAAAAAGCCTCATATGCATGTGAAAGCTGGACAATGAATAAGGAACACTAAAGAATCCATGCATTTGAATTTATGGTGGTGATGAAGAATATTGAATATATCATTGACTGCCCCCAAAACACAAATCTATCTAGGAAGAAATACAGCCAGAATGTTCCTTACAAGGGGATGACAAGATTTGGTCTCACGTACTTTGGTTGGTCTCACGTACTTTGGGCTTGTTATAAGAAGGAACCAATCCCTGGAAGAGGAAATCATGCTTGTTAAAGTATTGTTGTGAAGTGCTTTCAAGTCAGTTTCGACCCAGAGCAATGCTGTATAGGGTTTCCAAGGAGCAGCTGGTGAGCTTGAACCACCAAACTTGTAGATCAAATGACTTTGCACTCCATTAGCCCACACTGCCACACCAGGACTCAGCGGGAGATCTCCAAGGAGATGGATTGATGCAGTGGCTGCAGCAGTGGGCTCAAACATAATGATTGTGAGGATGACACAGGACTGGACAGTGTTTAGTCTGTTGTGCATAAGGTTGCTATGAATAGGAACCAACTCCACAGCACCTAACAACAACAACATGGTTCTCTTTAATTTGTATTCAATTGCATTGCACTCTTTCACTTGTTCTTTTTGACTGATGATTTCTAATTTGAAGATAGTAACTTCCAAATTTGCTAAATAACAAAATTGAAACTTCCAAAACTACCACTATATCTCTGTATATTGATGGCTTTAATAGTTCCTATTCCAACTTTGCCATAAAAATTCATTTAAAACAGTTTTTCCTTTATTTTCATGTTGTGTTTCTGTATGTGTTAGCAGACAAAAAGCAATAATTCTTCATCTCACTCATGGATTTATCAAAAGCTAAAAATAAAGTAGATCAGATCACTTTCTGAAACAAAATTACTTTATTAGTTTAGTAATAATTTGAGGTTACTTTAAAGATAAGAAGCAGCATTTGGGAGGAGATTCATTTCCTGCTTTTGGACTTTATCTGTAAGAACTACATTTTCAGTGTCAAGATATTGTGTATTTATAACTGAACTCTAATAAAATCTGTACTAGAGATGCTGCACACCTGACTTGGTCATTGTGATTATATATTAGGTGCCAAACTATTGCTTGTTTTTTTTTTTTTGAGAAAAAATATATTACCAAGTATAATTTCATTAAAATTTGCCTCTGTAGGAATAATTATAAGACCTATGACTCTTGATAATAAGTGTGCTAGTTACTTCTAACATGGTTAGTGATGTTTCTTTGGAAAACAAGTTTGTGTTTCTAATTGAAATGAACTTACAGAATTTTCCTTTCATTAGTGAATTAAGCAGTAATTAAAAGGGAAGAGGTGTCATATTTCATTTATTTTGTTGTTGAGAATGTATACAGCAAAATTTCTACCAGACCATTCTGACCCATTCTTTCTGAATGTTTCTTCCTCCATTAACAAATTCACTGTCTGTAAGATTCATATCTTTTGAGATGCTGCTGTTAATATGATTCCATGTAGATGGTTCTTAAAAGAGCAAATTACTCAAGGCAGGCTTATTGTACTAGTCACATTAAATTACGGTTTTAAGAAGGATTCAAGGACTCTTTTTAGTTTAAGGCTTAATGATTATATCAGGTCCATTTCAGAAGGTTCTCATCTTCTTGTCTCCAGAATGTCTGGTGTTATACTAAAGAATTTGAAATTCTGCTCTACATTTTCACCCTTTTGATCAAAATTCTTAAATCTATGATCAAAATATTCAGTAGTAGAACTAATTTGCCATTGCAGCTTAGAGTTGATCATCTTGTAGTGGTCTTTACAGAACATAAATTTCACTTTCTGCTGTAGAGGCCATCAGTTTTTTTATGATTTGTGATTTATAGATCTTGTTTAAGAACTCCTTCCCTACTCTTGAGGCCACCATTAGGTTTATAATACTTTTACATATAATACTTTTAAACCATATGGATTTCACTTTTGCATGTGTTGTGAGGTGGTGGTTATTAAGTACTGTCGAGTTGGTTCTAACTCATAGCAACTATATAGAGTTTCCAAGGAGCATCTGTTGGGTTTGAATTGCTGACCTCTGGTTCAAATCGACTTTGTGGTCCAGTGTTTTAATCCTACAACGCTATACCAGGACTCCATGTTGTGAGATAGAAATCCGAAATTATTTTTCTTAGGGTGAACCAGTTTTCTTAGTTTCATTTGTAAGCAATGCATCCTTTCCCTACTGATTTATGGATTGTTTATTGTGTCTGGGGAGCCATGGTTGCTGCTGTTGTTAAGTACTGTGGAGTTGGTTCTGACTCACAGTGACCCTACACAGGGTTTCCGAGGCTGTAAATCTTTACGGGAGCAGAAAGCCTCATCTTTTTCCCGCAGAATAGCTGGTAGTTTCAAAGTGCTGATCTTAAGGTTAGCAGCCCAATTCGTAACCACTACGCTACCATGGTAGTTCAGTGCTAATTTGGCACCTATTCAATTAATGACTAAAGTGTTTGGGTTCACATTTCATAGCTATTTTTCCTTAGGTCACTTTGTTGTTGTTAAGTGCCACCAAGTCTGTTTCAACTCATAGTGTGATCCTGTATCGCATTTCCAAGGAGTAACTGGTGGGTTTGAACTGCCAGCCTTTTGGTTAGCAGTTCAGTCAGTGCTTATCCTACAGCGCCACATCAGGACTGTTAGGTCATTTTAGGTAAGAATATTTTTCTGGCAGGAACTCTGAAGTGTTTGGCAACATCTGTACTAAGCAAAATACATATGTTTAAAGTATGCTGATTAAAAAAGCTAATCTCAAAAGGATACTTAATGCGTGATTCTATTTATTTAACTGGTGAAATAACAGAATTATAGCAATAAAGGGCAGATTGGTGGTTGCCATGGATTCATGTATAGGGGAAAGGAATGGGTGGGGCACTGAAGGAGTAGCAATACAGAGTCTTCTAATCTTGGTACAGTTAAGTATCTAGATTGTGGTGATAGTGCCCCAAACCCAGACTTGTAGCCATCGAGTCAATTTTGACTCATAGAAACAGGGTTTCTGAGACTGTTAAATCTTTATGGGAATAAATCCCTTGGAGTGGTTGGTGGGTTTGAACTGCCACCCTTGTAGCCCAACACTTAGACCTCTAAGCCACCAGGACTCCTTCCTTGTGGTGATGGTTACATGAAGCTATTCATGTCATAAAGCAGCATGGAGCTATACATACATACATGCATGCCTAGTTGAATGATTCAAGAAAAAAAATATTTCGTTTGTACTCACTTGTTAAGTGCCATTGAGTAAGTTCCCACCTATAGTGAATCTGTATAGAGTTGTGGAGGAGCAATTGGTGAGCTTGAACTGCCAACCTTGAAGTTCTAAGCATCCTGCAGTCCACCACATTAGCCCACAGCACCACACCAGGACTACATTGGGAGACTTTTATGAGACTTGCTCATTAATATAATATTTTAAATTGGTATAATATGTTGAAGTGTCATATCATACATTGGAAAGTACTTAACCTGTCTCAATAACTGTTAGTTGCTGTGGAGTCAGTTCCAACTCATGATGACCCATGTGGCAGACTAGAACTACTCCATAGGGTTTTCAAGACCTTTCTGAAACAAATCACCAGGTTTGTCTTCTGAGGGGCCTTTGAGTAGGTTCGAACCACCAACCTTTTAGGCAGTAATAACTGTTTGCATAAGCTACTTGCACCAGCTTTCTTCTACACACTGCAACTATTGAATGTGGTTTGTTTTGTTAACTTGTTTGGCCTTTGGGTATTAAGTTTGTCTCTAGGGAGCTAGAATTAGGTTTGTCTATTTATTACTATGAAAAACAAAGGAAGCACACTGATTGCTGATAATACAGAGCTTTTGAAAAAAGCAAATGTCAGTTGACTAAAGAACTATTATTCCAGCGATGAAGATTATATTTTAATTCAAAAGACATTAAATAGGCATACTTTGTTTTTTCGAGATACAGTTAGCATACCATAATGTTCAGACTTTTCAACTATACAGTTCAGTAGTTTTTATATATTCACAAAGCCTTATACTTTTACAGAAGCTTTTTTAAGTACTGTAATTATACTTTTTTCTTAGTTACACATTTTTATTTACTTTTACTCATGTGATTACTACTGTTTCCAAAATATTCTTCTCTTAAATTTCTATTCTTGATTCCGGTCTAATGTAATTTCTGTTTGGGGAAGGCTTTCTTGACTCCTTTTACATTTAGTTGCCTTTTTCTTTGGACTCCCCTTGTTCTTTTTTTATCCCTTTGTTATATTACCACATTTTTATTGTCATTTTTTCTTTAGTTATTTGTCTTCTCTTTCTGGCCATTTATCTCTTAAGGACAAAGGCTGAAAGGTTGGTAGTTCAAACCCACACAGTGGGTCTAGGGGAGAGAGAGACCTGGCAATCTTGTTTCCACAAAGACTACAACCAAGAAAACCCTCTGAAGCAGTTCTCCTATTGGAGAACTGGGTTGTTATGAGTCAGAATCAGCTTGACAACATCCAACTACAACAAACCATAAAGTATACATCATGAACTTGATATACCATATTCAGTGATGAATATGAAAATAATGTTTTTTGCTTCTGGATATCATTTTAGTGTTGGAAGGGACCTAAAATATCTAGTGCGTTTCACTCATTCACATTTGTGTTCAAAGGAAATTAAAATCCAGAGATGTTGAATGATTTAGTGGTGAAGTTAGGACTAAAAACCTGTTTCTCACCATTCTTTCCTGTACCATTTGTTTTATTTTCTCTTTTGCCTTACAGTATATGCTCTGATAATTTACAGTGAAAATAATTTGTTTTCTGAAGTTTAAAGGGAAAGACCTTGCAAATGTTAATTTATAATACTATTTTTCTACTTTAAATTATAACTAAACCAGTTGCCAACTTGAATACTGAAAATGATTTTAAATTAACTAAAGCATTTATGGCATTTTTTCTGTTTTATAGACCTCCGTGAGTGAAAGCCTTCAGAGGGAAGCTGCTAAGAAGCAAGCGATGAAACAGGTAAGATAAAAGAGTGAGTTAAATGCATTCAGTAAAGTATTTCTACTCACATTATAAGTGTTAACTTTGATATTTTGGTGCTGACACTAAAGCAGAGTTAGGTATATGTATAGAAATAATTTCACATTGATCTGTATTATCTAACAGTGTATAAGGACGTTTCTTGGTTTTACAGAGGTTACAGGTTTCCTGTATAAACTTTAATGGAAAAAAACAGAAAGTGGAATTCTGCTATAGAATAAACCATTTCTACCTTTTAGATGGTGACTCACTCATTAGTTGGCAATGGATTGTTTGGCTTAATATTTTCTGCCAGTGAGCTTACTGGTTTTTTATTTTTTTAAAACAAAAAGGCTTCACAAGCAACATGACTATAAAATTTTATAGTTGTTTGTAATTCATCTATCAGGAATGGGTATTAGAGTTAATTATTAATAGCCTTAACTAGCACCTTGTGTTTATCTTGTGCTCTAGATCTAGTCCTGGTGTGATGCCATAGGATAAGGTTAGTGTGAACTGCAAGGTCAATGGTTCAAATTCATCAGCTGCTCCTTGGAAACCCTATACAGGGTCGTTATGAGTCGGAACCAACTCAATGATACTTAACAACAGCAATAACAATAGTATTTCCAGGAGTCATGGTGTATAGCACTATAGGATAAGCAGTAGACCACAAGGTTGATTTGAACCACAAAGTGGTAGTTCAAACCCACCAGCCGCTCCTCAGAAACCCTGTGCAAGGTCTCTATGAGTTGGAACGGACATGACGGCACTTAACAACAATGTTTCCAAGCGCTTTTTATATTTCCTTTTTTTGTTGTTGTTAACTTTTTGTGAATTGAGTGAAAGATTAGAGAAAATCATCAGTTTTATATTCAACAAATCATATACTTTGTTTCATCTCAATGATTGCAATCCCCTCCATGCAAGAAGTTATTATACTTCCTCCCTATGATTCCTATTTCTATTCTGCCCATCTTTCTATCCCTTCTCAACTTTGTCCTTAGGAATTTGTTGTTGTTGTTGTCAGGTGCCATTGAGTCAGAACCGACTCATAGCGACCCCATGCACAGCAGAACAAAACAATGTCCGATCCTGGGCCAACCTCACTACCGCTGCCACACTTGACGCCATCAGTGATGCCACCTGGCTGATCCATCTAGTTATGGGTCTTCCTCTTTTTCTCTGACCCTCCACCTTACCCAGCATAACATCCTTCTCCAACGATTGTTTCCTCCGGACAGTATGTCCAAAGTAGGAGAGACGAAGCTTAGCCATCCTGGCCTCCAAGGAGCACTCTGGCTGCACTTCTTCCAAAACAGATCTATTGGTTCTTTTGGCAGTCCATGGCACTTTCAGTATTCTCCTCCAACACCACAACTCAAAGGCATCAATTCTTCTACGATCTTCCTTATTCACTGTCCAGCTTTTGCATCCATAAGAGGATATGGAAAACACAATGGCCTGGGTCAGGAGCACCTTAGTCCTCAAGCTGACATCTCTGCTCTTCAATACTTTAAAAAGTTCCTGTGCAGCAGATTTGCCCAGTGCAATACGTCGTCTGATCTCTTGATTGCTGCTTCCATGAGTGTTGATAGTTGATCCAAGAAGAATGAAGTCCTTGACTACTTCAGTCTTTTCTCCATTGATAAGAATGTTGTTTATTGGTCCAGTGGTGAGGATTTCTGTTTTCTTAACATTGAGATGTAATCCATATCGAAGGCTGTGTTCTTTGATCTTCATATGTTGCCCTTTTGATCTTGAATCATTGACCTTCTCATGGTGAGCATGCTTTACTAAATATTGTTGGTCCCATCTATATACCTAACTACTGCTTGGCTGAAAATTGGGCCCTGAGGGCAAGTTCCTTTCCAGACCTGAGTGGTGGTTATAATTTTGAGTTTTGTACCACATTTTCTTCCACTTTATCTGGGATCTTCTAATGTGATCCCTTTCAAAACAGTAGCCAGGCACCATCTAGTTCTGGTCTCAAAGTCATAGTGACTGATGTTCACTTGCTCCATTGGTCCATTGGATAGTTAGTTCCAGGCATCTTCAGTTTTCACCATTCTTTTGCACATGAAGTGAATAAAAGTTGCACCTTAGATGGCCGCTCATGAGCTTTTAAGATCTCAGACTCTACTCATCAAAGTAGGATGTAGAACATTGTCTTTGTGTACTGGTTGGTTGGTTGATTGATTATGTGTGTGGAGTTGATTCTGACTCATAACAACCCTGTACAAGGGTTCTGAGGCTGTAAATCTTTACAGGAGCAGAAAGCCTCATCTTTCTCCCATGGAGTACCTGGTAGATTTTAATTGCTGACCTTGCAGTTAGCAGCCCAGCTCATAATCCACTGTGCTGCCAGGGCTCCATCTCTGTGAACTATGTCATGCCAATTGACCATATGGTCTCAGACTATGTGGTCCTGAGTCTTTAGGCCTAGTAACTCATTGTCTTAAGATGCTTGATAATATCTATGACATTTTCGTCATTTTAACCCCTGTATGCTTCACCACATTCATAGGTGTTTTGTACATTGCTACATTAAACAATCTATAGATATAATGCAATCCCAATGCCACTCTTTAAAGAGTTGGGAAAACTGATGACTAACTTTTTATGGAAAAGATAGACCCTGGATAAGCAAAGCTTTGGTTAAGAAGAAGAATAAAGTTGAAGGCCTCTCACACCTTTATGTCAAAATCTATTACACGGCCACTGTGGTGAAACAGTGTGGTACTGGCACAATGAAAGATTCAGAGATCACTGGAAAAGAAGTAAAAGTAAGGAATAAATCCATCCACACACAGTCAACTGATCTTTGACAAAAAGCCAAAACACAGTTAATGGGAAAGAGATAGTCTTTAACAAATGATGCTGGCAAAACTGGAAATCCATTTGCAGAAAAATGAAACAAGACTTGTACCTCACACCATATACAAAAACAAACCCAACATGGATTAAAGATCTAAATGTAAAACCATTCTAGGTTTATAATTCTATATAAAAATAACCAATGAAAAAATAGGAACTAAAGAACTCTAATACATGGTATAAATATAGAAACATAACTAAACAGTCCCATAACTATACTTATTAAGAAGACTAGTTAGATAATAAGTATAGTTATGGGACTATGTATGTTGATCATTTTGTGTTTTTTTTTTAAGCTTTTATTGTGAATTGAGTGATAGTTTATAGGGTAGATCCCTTCCATTCACCATACATTAACAATATTTGCCGCTATTCCCTCTTTTTTTTTTTTTTTTTACGTACACAAAACACACAGAAAATATATATTAATTTAAATGAGAAGGGCACATTTTGTAAGCCAGCTTCCTGCCCTCCATCACACAGCCTTTCTCATTCCATAGGTCTAGAGTCCTCTGCTGTTCTATCTGTATATGCTATCATCTCTGCTTCCATCTCTGGTGTCTTTGCTCCTCTGATTAGGATCCCACTCTGCTCATGCTGTTCACTCTTGATGGTCCTAGGATCCTCTGTTCCTGGAATGAAAGATTAAGTACTCCCCCTTTTTTGTTACACATATTCTATCTGTATGGTTGTGACAGTGTCAGTTAGTCATGATAATAATCACTCACTGTTGAATCAAAAGAATCCTATCTCCATCTTCCCCCATTCCCCCATTCTCTTTTTTTTTTTTTTTTTTTTTTAACTCCCATTCTCTTTTTGATAGCTTTTTATATAACATTTTGAACCACTTGACATTTGAAAATGAAACATTCTATTTGGCAACACAACTTACTAAAAATTATTTGAAAGCATAATATATAATAAGTATTTTAGAAACAGGGTTAGATATTTCCAATTCATACTTTTGTACCTTCTTCCCTGTTCATGAGGATTGTAGATACGTATAAATGAATAGATAACAATAAGGGTTTTAAGTTTATTGTTACTTAATTATCACAGCAACCTAGAAGGTAGATAAAACTATTGTCCTCATTTTTTCAAAAGATTGAATATACTTTCAAAGACTTTAAAATTGATATTCAATGTAATTGCTGTATTCCTTATGATGAATTTCCACTTCATGAACCTCTCGAAAAAAATTACATTGATTTTTTTTTGTGTGTGTGTGTGTATGGTATCTACTGGCTGACTTATTTGAAACTTGTTTAATTTTTGTTTTTTAAGACCAAACTGGAAATCCAAAAGGCCCTTGCAGAAGATGCTACTGTGTACGAATATGACAGTATTTATGATGAAATGCAGAAAAAAAAAGAAGAAAATAATCCCAAATTGCTTTTGGGAAAAGATAGGAAGGTTTGTAAGTGAAAATATAAACTTCCTTTAACCTTGACCTGTAATTTTATATCTTAATCTTATTTCAGTATGAGAATGATCTGAGTAAAAGCTTTTGTATGTTTAAGTGTGAAGAGGCCCTGATTCCACATGTTTTAGATTCTCCATATAAAATCTTAGCAGAAGCAAGTGACTTTTCTAACAGTTTCATAAATTTTATTGTTGGCTCTGAAAGCTTTGTAAGTAGTTTTTAAATTTTCCGTAGAAGTTTTTATGTACCTAATTTGTACTGCTGTTTGTCTTATCACTCTCTTCTTTCAGTTAGTAGTTCCTACCTGATAACTGAATCATTATGGTTATATTTTTATTTTGAAAAAATTTAAGAGGTAGAAATTGAAATTAGTTCAAATTTTCTTTCTTTTGCTCTTGTTCTTTCACAAGCACAGACTGGTTTTTAAGGGTCTTTGCCTCTTTCAATATCTACTGGTAGAGTTGTTAGGTGTCACCAAGTTGGCTCTGCCTCTTAGTTAGTTACCCCCTGGAGTAGAGTGGTGGTAGTAGAATATAGCTACTATTTTAAATAGTCTTATTTCTACCAACTTAAAAATTAGAAGGATGTTTTCCATCTATTCCTTATTTGTTGAAGTATTAAAAGAATGCCTATAAAAAGAGTGACAAAAACACTAGGAAAAGTTTAGTCTACAAATAATTATGAATTATTTTTCTATATACTTACATTTTTATTGGAAACAACTTTAATTTTATTCTAGTAAATTTATATGAAATTTTGAGAAAACAGTCCTATTAGACTAGTCATTTCTATCTTATGAATTCATGATTTAAAAATATAATAGAATATTAAGTTAATTATTCTTTTCCCTAAACAAAGATTATTTTTTCCCTTAGCCCAAGTATATTCACAACTTATTAAAAGCAGTTGAAATCAGGAAAAAGGAACAAGAAAAAAGAATGGAAAAGAAAATTCAAAGAGAACGAGAAATGGAAAAGGGAGAATTTGATGATAAAGAAGCATTTGTGACATCTGCTTATAAGAAAAAACTACAGGAGAGAGCTGAGGAAGAAGAAAGAGAAAAGCAGGCTGCTGCGCTGGAAGGTATGATGGGGGGACAGTAATAACAAAATGTTGTTCTTGGCTTTGTCAGTGAACCTATGGAATATAGTAGTAGGTGCTATTGAATTGGTTCCTACTAATAGCAACCATATGCAAAAGAACAAAATACTGCCCTATCCTGGGCCAACCTCACAATTGTTGCTATGCCTGAGCCCATCACTGCCACCACTGTGCCAATCCATCTCATTGGGATCTTCCTTTTTTTTTTCCCACTCTCCACTTTACCAAACATGATATCCTTCTCCAGTGACTGGTCCCTCCTGATAATATGTCCAAAGTATGAGAGAGATGAAGTTTGACCATCCTGGCTTCCAAGGAGCATTCTGATTATACTTCTTCCAACACAGATCGGTTTGTTCTTTTGGAAGTCCATGGTACTTTTAATATTCTCCTCCCAACACCATAACTCAAATGCATCAATTCATCTATGGCCTTCCTTACTCACTGTCCAAATTTCGCATGCACATGAGGTTATTGAAAATGGTTTGGGTCAGGTGCATCTTAGTCCTGACACTGACATCTTTGTTCTTCAATACTTTAAAGAGGTCTTGTGCAGCAGATTTGCCTAATGCAATACGTCGTTTGATTTCTTGACTGCTGCTTTCGTGAGTGTTGATGGTTGATCCGAGCAAAATGAAGTCTTTGACAACTTCAGTCTTTTCTCCATTGATCATGGATGTTATTTATTGGTCTGGTGGTGAGGATTTTTGTTTTGTGTTTTTACATTGAGATGCAACCCATACCAAAGGCTGTGACCTTTGATCTTCATCAGTAAGTATTTAAAGTCCTCTTCACTTTTAGCAAACAAGGTTGTATCATCTGCATATCACAGATGGTTAATAAGTCTTCCTCTAATCCTAATGCCACATTTTTCTTCATATAATCCAGCTTCTCGGATTAAACATACACCTAAATAGTGGTCATAATTCATATATATATAATGAATTTAAGATGCAAGACGTGAAAGTTATAAAGCAAGAAGTAATATTATGATGGTAAGCTTCTAGGGTTTCAGTTCACACACACAAGTTTATCCCAAGCAAAGTGCATTTTTAAATGTATGTGAGATCAGTAGATGACTGCAGACATGTTCTCTCACTTAGACTCTTGACTTAGTCTTATTAAGGTATCTTCCAAAAAAAAAAAAAGGATAATTTTTGTGTTTTTAAAAAAAAATGATTTTGAGGTCAGGGCTAATATCACCTCTTCAGTAAACCTCAGGTGGACATGGTCCCAAATCACTGACACTTTGCAACAATTTATAATGTTGCCCTGGTGGTGGTGGTTATGAGCCTTGGAATCGGTTCTCCTGTACAGGGTTTCCAGGGCTGTAAATCTTTATGGGAGCAGAAAGTCTCATCTTTCTCCTGCCGAAAAGCTGGTAGTTTCGAACTGCTGATCTTGTGGTTTGCAGCCTGATTCGTTACCACTACGCTACCAGAGCTGCTTATAATATTGCCCTACATAAAAATAAAAAAATAAAAAAAGTTTTATTTTTTTAGATAGATCAAGCATTTTAAGGAAGGTTGGGAAGGCTGTGGACCTCACCTAATGATGCAGCTGGTGGAAGACGATTACCATTGATGAGATAGTTACTGAAGTTGGGATCTCACATAGTTCTGCATTTTCAATTTTAAGTGAACATCCTGCCTCAACAAGCTCTCCTCTCTATGGGTGCACAAAGATCAGCCAGCTCAAAGAGCTAGGCTTTTTATCAGTCTTTTAAGCAAGAAATTATTGAAAACGGTTTTATGGAATGAAGTGTAACTGGGACAAGTCTTGGATTTACTGATATAATACAGAGAACAAAGTCCATTCAGAACAGTGGTTTCCCAGGGGATCAGCTGAGCCAGTTAAATGCAAGGCAAAGAAGTCAACTGAGAATTATGGAGACTGTTTTTGGAATTTTAAAGACGTAATTTTGATAAATTTTTCTCAAAGACACAGAACAATCATGGAGTTTTTTATGAAGAACTTTTAAGAAAATTGAAAACTGCGTTCATTAGAAAAAGGCCAGGAAAGTTGGAAAGAAGGATAACAGGGACTGTTCTACAAGAATGTCATTGGGAAACTTTATTCTGCCACCTTCCAGCCTTGATTTTGTCCCATCAGACTTCTTTTTGTCCACCAAATACAAAGAGCATTTAAAAAGAACACGATTTGAGTCCCTTGTGGATGCCAAAACTGCCATTTTGATGTGGTATAAATTGAAGAGCACAGGATTCTTCAAGGAAAAATTTGTTGTTGTTACGTGCCACGGAGTCATCTTTTGCGGGAGCAGAAAACCTCATCTTTCTCCCACAAAGCAGCTGGTAGATTCGAATCTTGTGGTTCGCAGTCCAGTGGTTATCCTATGGAGCCACTGCACTCCCAAGGAAAGACTGTTGTTAAGTGCCGTTGAGTCGGTTCTGACTCATACCAACCCTGTATAGGGTTTCTGAGGAGTGGCTCGTAAGCTTGAACCGCTGGCCTTGTGGTTCAAACTGGCATAGCTGTCCATGTTATCCTGCAGTGCCACAACAGGACTAGAGAGATAAAAACACCCATTTTCTTTTAAGTCGACGTTTACTATAAGTCATCGCCTTGGAACATGACTTAAAATATAAATAAATTTATTTCAAGGCATACCACCATAACATTCATCAGTAGCAATATAAAATGAGGTTTAAACCCTAATTATTTCTAAAATGAGAAAATCTATATTAACACTAACTCAACGAGCATCAGCTGGGCATTTGGGAAGAAACAGAGCAAACAGGTTCAGAGACTTAAGACTATGATAAATTAGTGAGTTTCAGAGTCATTTCTCTAGACCCAAGTAGAGTTTATACTTAAGTTATTTAATTGGAATAAGTGCTCATCAGCTTGAAGTAGAAGCAAATCTATAAGACTACCTCTCATGTTTCCATGTCAACACACATACTGTAAAGGGTCAGATAGCAAATAGTTTAGATTTTGTGTGCCATTGGGTCTCTGTTGCAACTACTTAACTCTGTCTTTATAACTCAGAAGCAGTTGTAGACAGCACATGAATGAATGAATAGGACTGTGTCCCAATAAAACAGTATTTTTAAAAAAGGCATTGGGTCAAATTAGACCAGCAGCATATAGTTTCCAACTCTTGCTCTAAAGCAGGGGTGAGGAACATCTGCCCTGTGGGCTGTGTAAGCCCGTAAAACCATTTGGTCTGACCCTGCTAAGGCAACTGCCGGCGGGACTCAAAAATCAATAAATCTAGGAGCTTTTTTCATAACAACATAAATTTATATTAAGTGGCTGTTGGCATAAAAATGGTTCCCCACTCCTGCTCTAAAGAATACCTTGTACACTGTATGTTATGTACACTGTGTCTTTAAAACTGAACTGCATTGTGGCTTGTTGAATGTGGTCTCACTTTTGTTTTCCCTCTCTTAGCACGTTTGGATGTAACCAAGCAGAAAGATCTCAGTGGATTTTATAGGCACCTGTTAAATCAAACAGTTGGTGAAGAGGAAGTACCTAAATGCAGCTTTCGTGAAGCCAGGTGAGATGTGGTATATGGAATATTTAGAAGAAATATACTGCTCATAGACGATGGTTTGTGGGATCATTATCCTGCAGAAAGATAGAAGGTTGCCTGCAGCATAACCTAATTTTATGAATAGGTAGGGATTTGCAAACAGTTTCTAGATCAAATAAACCTACAGATTTATTTCAAAATATTTATTTTGAAATTCACAAAGATAGCTAATCTTATAATTAGCTTCAATATTGTCTGAGTGATTGAAGTGTTGTAACATCACTACAGAACCAAAGAACTAAAGCATTTAATGTATAAAACTTTTGAGTAGCAAAATGGTTTATAATTGTGGGTCTTACAAATGGCCTTCAAGGAGGACAGAACCAAATTGTGATCTTTTTTATTGTAAAAAAAAATTTTTTTTTTTTTTTTTTTTTAACTAAAATTTGGGTATCCCTCATGGACCTGATAACCTTAAAATCATTGGTCTGCGAATTAAGAGACATTTGGAAAGGATTAGGTGTCATACAACTTAATCTTATATGCATAGTCAGATAATATACAAAAAGGAAAATCATTTTTCTTTTTTTTGTACTTCTTATTGTGCCTTTTGTGAAAGTTTACAGAGCACATGAGTTTTCCATTCAACAATTCATATACATTTTGGTTTGTGACATTGATTGCAATGCCCACAATGTACTAGCACTCTTCCCATGTCTTCCCTGTGTTTACCATTCAGGCCATTTATCTGTCTTTCCTGTCCCCTATGCAAATGCTGCCCTTTCAACCTCTTATGATGATTTATTCTAAGGAGTGACTACCTCCCTGATGTTATTGTTCACCTTATGTTGTTGTTATAAAGTGCTGTTGAGTTGGTTCTGACTCACTGTGACCCTGTACAGGGTATGGATAGGGTCCTGTATAGGGTCCTGGTGTGGTGCTGTAGGATAAACATTGGACTGCAAGATTGGTTTGAACCTCAAGGTTTGTGGTTGAGACTCACCAGCCACTCCTTGGAAACCCTATACAGGGCCGCTATGAATTAGAACCAACGTAGCAGTACTTTAACAACAAAGTAAGTGATTAGTAAGACGGAACTTGTGGATGATTTAAATAAATAACTATACCCATCAGCTGGAAAAATGTAGAAGGTGTGTAAAACTATTTAACTGTTGATCTTGATGACTGAATGTGCTTACATCACTTACTTCTAAATTTTTTTGTGATTGGTATTAAATAATGCTCGTGCCATTTTAATTATGTTGTTGTTGTTGTTGTTAAGTGCTGTCAAGTCGTTTCTGACCCATAGTGACCTTGTAGAGGGTTTCCAAGGAGCCACTGGTGAGCTTGAACCCCCAACCTTGCAATTCAAACTGACTTTACAGTCTAGCGCATTAACCCACAGTGCCACACCAGGACTCCATTTTAATTATGGGGGATATTATTTAGTAGAATTAGGTTTTACCAGCAATTTGCTCTAAAAAAAATATTTTTGTGCATTCCAGGGCTAGTATAATAACTTTTTTAAAGAAAGAGAAAAATCAAACAGCTACAACTTAAGCTTGTGTTATGAAAATAGAATTTAGATCCAGAGTATCTTATCTTCCTTAGCTAGTCTTCATTCAAACTTAACAAAAATAAAGTGCTTGTACAGTCCCTTTCTGAAGATTCTAGTAATCCAATAGAGATGAGTCATTTTCTCTATTTCAGTTTCACAAATATTGAATGATTAGAAAATACTAGTTTGTAAATGTTTGTACGATAGATAAAAATATTTTTTCATATAGGATAATCAGAAGTATATGTAATTATGTTGTATTGACTAAAATATTGAGAAAAATTACATGAATATTTCATTTGCTTCTCACAATTGATACGTGTGCATTTTGTGGTTTTTATTCTAAGGTCTGGGATAAAGGAAGAGAAATCAAGAGGTTATGCTGATGAAGTAAATTCAGAGAACAGAATACTACATGAGCAATGCATTCTCCAAAATCATTTGAAGGCAGAGGAAAACCCAGATGCAGACAGTGACTTTGATGCTAAAAGCAGTGAGGATAGTGAAGTTGAAGAAAATAATAAAGTGAACTTCAGAAGGGAAAAAGACACAGAGTCTTCTGAGAATGACTCTAAGTATCACAGGAATCAGACCCACTTACGGTCATCTAGTGAAGAAAGAGGCCACAGTGTCAAACACCACACAAAAAATTCCAAGTCAAGAGGATATGAGAAAAGGGAAGATAAGTACCAAGAAAGACAATCCAGGGAACAGGAGAACTATTACACGGATCGTGATTATCCAAAAGAAAAGGATTCCCATAGGTACCGAGAGGCTAGTCATAGAGATTCCCACTGGAAGAGGCATGAACAAGAAGATAAACCTAAGGGAAGAGATTATAGAGAAAGAGAGAGAAATGACAGAGAATGGAAAAGGGAGAAATATATCCCAAGAGAACAAGAAAGACATAGACAACCAATTGATCATGACCGACACAGTGAGAAAGGAAGAGAGAAGGAAGAGAAAAGCAAAGCAAAGGAAGATCATATGAAAGAAAGGAAGGAGCGATATGAGAGCAATGATAAGTACAGAGGTAGGGAAAAAAAAGAAGCAAGTGTTCAATCTTCAGAAAGAAATCGAGACAGAAAGGAAAGTAGCCCAAGTCTTAGAATAAAGGATAGGTTGCTTGGCCAGGAAAAATCCAACAAAATGAAAAGCATGGAAAAGGACAAAAATTGGAACCAAGAGACACCCTCTAGTTCTGAAGCATCACTAGGAACAAAACACAGACTCACAGAGGAACAGCAAGAGAAAGACAAAGAACAAGAGAGACCACCTGAGGCTGTGAGCAAATTTGCAAAACGGAGCAATGAAGAAACTGTAATGTCAGCTAGAGACAGGTACTTGGCCAGGCAAATGGCACGGGTTAATGCAAAGACTTATATTGAGAAAGAAGATGATTGAGACTGCTCCCGTAGATCTATGGAAGCACAGAAAATTATTAATACTCCTGGAGCTTGCTTTGTGAAAGCAAAGAGGAATTGTGTTAACAGTGGTTTGGAAGGGTATTTTTTAATATCAAAATTCACTTTTGATTTAGGTTTAAATCATAAGTCAGTCCTTTTACCATGAACGTGTGACTGGATATATGTACTGTTTGCTCACCAATACACCACATTCTTTGTTGTATCCAAGCAACTGTAATAATGTGCTAAGTTCCTATATGTACTTAATGAAGATTATTGGCCTTCTTGGCACCATTAATAATGCTGGTTTAGTTTCAGAAGCTGCTTAGTTCTATAAATATTGAATTTCAAGTAAAATATGTGGATTTAAACAGTAAAATAGAAAATATGGTTTTACTTTATATTCTAAAATTTATATTAAAGTATAAAATGGGCATCATCCATCTTGTCTAAATAACTTCTTTAGGTCACAGCATGTTTTGCTTAAATGCAGTGCAAGATACGCTAAGGAGAGAAACTGGATTTAGAGACATGATGGAAAACTGCCAGTCTGTCTCTTCTAATAGTTCAGACACTTTAAAAAAGCAGCTTAGATGCTTTAGATAGAAAAAACAATAGATTACTTTTATCAATCTACTTGGTTTGACCAGCTCAGGGAGAAACTGCAAATTGAGTTTTCTTCCATAAATTGTTAAGTGCCATTGATTCGGTTCCAATCTATAGAGACCATATATATATATACATATATACACAATATACATATATACATATATATATGTATATTGTGTAGGTGGTCAGAGACTCTCCAATGCAACTCCTGACTTTCCTCGTTGTAGATGAGGGAACTTCAAAATTTTTGAGGAAATTCCACTAAATTCAATTTTTCCATGGACTTCTTGAAGCCCCCCTGCCCACCTCATATATATATGTTGTTGTTAAGTGCCATCGAGTCGGTAGCGAACCTGTACAGGGTTTCCGAGGGTGTAAATCTTTATAGGAGTAGAAAGCCTCATCTTTCTCCCGTAGAGTGGCTGGTAGTTTCAAACCGCTGACCTTAAGGTTCGCAGCCCAATTCATAACCACTATGCTACCAGAGCTCCCAACGCTACCAGAGCTCCTATATATATATATAATTTGCCTTTGGGAAAGCAACCTTCATGACTTGTAGTCCAGTGGTTCAAACGGGACTGAGCAGGCTCCCGCTGGCATATATACCTCAAACTAGACCAATTTTAGGACAGTTGTCAGAATTTAAAGAAAGATGTTTTCCACTGCTAATGATAAAGGTAAATTGGGAATTGTATGGGAAAGCTTATGAATGATTGACAGATTAAAACCCACACAAAAGGAAGCAGAAATGAGAGATGATGAGGAAGACCAAGTGTTGATGTTTGCTTTTGAGTCTGCTGCCTACAGTGGGACAAAATTTTTTCAGGGATTTAAACCAATCCTTTTTACTTAGGCAGATGTTTGAATTGGATTTCTATCACTACAACTGAAAAATCCCTACGTGATACAAGGGATAAATATAAATTCATGCCAAAAGTTATCAGAATTCTTAAAATTAAAAAAAAATTTAATATGACATGTATACAGACAAGTACACATATCATGAATATACAACTTTAATAGTTTTATACAAAGTAAATACACCTGGTTCAGAATGAGCCACACAGACACTCCCCTCAGACCTCTTTCCAGTTTAATCTCCTTTCATTTGACTTTTTTGTCTTTCTTATTCTTGTTGTCACTAACTTTTAACACTATAGATTAGTTTTTGCTTATACTCATGGCTGTATAGTATATTTATCCATTCTAGTATTGATGGAAATTGAGTTGTTTTCATTTTGGAGTTATTGTAAATAATTCTACTAAGGAAATTCCTTGGGTTTTTTTTCCTTTTTAAATTTTCAACTTTTTGCAAATTGAATAAAGGTTTACAGACAAGATCAGCCCTGCATTCAACAAATTACACACTTTGTTTTATCTTCATCTCAATGATTACATTCCCTTCCATGCAACAGCAGTTATCCTGCTTCCTTCTTATGGTTCATATTTCCATTCCACCTACCTTTCTATCCTTTTTCAATTTTGTCCTTAGGAAAATGTTGCCCTTTGGATTTTGAATGGTTGACCATTCCATGGGGACCTTACCTTGTTAGTGTTGCCCCCCTCCATAAACCTATCTACTGCTTGACTGAAAATTGGTTCACAAGAGTGTTCTTTTTCAGACCTGAAGATTGGTCAAGGGCGATAGTCTGAGGTTCATCCAGTGTTTTTTCTGAACAGTAGACTTGGTCTTTTTTTTTTTTTTTTTCTTTCATTCAGTTAAATAATTTTGAGTTTTGTTCAATATTTTCTTTCTATATATCCACGACCCTCTAATGTGTTTAATTTCAGTGGTAGCGAGGCACTGTCTAATTCTTCCAGTCTCAGACTCATGGAGACTGATGATCATATGTTCCATTAATCCATTGGATTAATTGATTCCAAGCCTCTTCAACTTTTCATCACTCTTGTTTCTTCTGTACATGGAGAGACCAATAGCTGCACCTTACATGGCCACTCAGGAGATTTTAAGATCCCATACACTACTCACCCATGTAGGTTGTAGAACATTGTAAACTATGTCAGTTGACCATGGTGTCATTGCCTTTAGATGTTTGATAATACTTAGGAAGTTTTCATCATTTTGCCTGCTATATGCTCTACCACATTCATAGTTGTGTTTGCAAGAAAGGTAAATACTCCTGTACATATACCCTCGTTCAAACTCATATTTGTGGGATATGTTAAGTTCCATTGAGTCAGTTCCAACTCATAGCAACACTGTATAGGGTTTCCAAGGAGTGATTGCACCAACCTGTGGTCAAATGCTTATCCTACAGTACCACACCAGAAGTAGGGAACCTTCTTTCTGCCAAAATTTATAACATCATTATCAAGCCATACAAAATTATCAACCTAAAAATTAGCCTGGTCAAGCACTTAATTAACCATTAATGTGATAACTGGAACTATGGTTGCCTCAGCAGGGTCAGATTAAATGATTTTGCAGCAGAACATACCCCACCCCTGCTGTATAGGGTTTCCAAGGAGCAATTGGTGAGTTTGAACTGCTGCTCTTGTTTGAAGTCCAGTGCTGATACTACAATGCCACACCGTGAGTCCTTTGTAGGATATATAAGCGTGTGTATGTGTTGTGTCTGTATATGGTGCTGTGAGTTAATGCACTGGACTGCACAGTTGGTTTGAACCACAAGGTCAGTGGTTCCTTGGAAACCCTTGATGACACTTAACATATTTATATGTTATTATAAATATATAATATCCCACTTTTCTAGGGACATTCTTGCACTGTGTTCTTTTGTTGCATACATATATGAAGGTAAGTTAAAAATTATGAGTGGGCTTCAAAAATTTCATGGAAAATGGAACTAAAAAATAATGGAATTTACTGGGGCCAACTGCTGCGTCTGACAATCAGCTTTTTTCTGTGACCCGCAGAGAGATTAAACCCGAGTAGGGATGACGAAGATGAGAAATAAAGATACAGGACACATTTGAAAATAGCACAGTTGGGACCAGGTGGGATGCAGCACTCTGATGGAGATACTGCGGCACAGACCAAGGCAAGCGAGTTTTATTTTATACACAGCTCAAGGGGAGGTACTTGAGGGAGGAGGGTAAGGAGTACCAGAACATCTTGTACTGAAGGAGCCAGCAGTAAGCGAAACTTTATCAGAAAAACTGTAACGTGGTAGCTAGCTGGAGCACAGTTTAGGGCGGCTAGAATGTTGTGCAGGCTGAGCTGAAGAACATAGCTAAATACAGGGAAAGACCTTGCAAGTTCCGTATCCCATGAGGCAGCCCTGTGAGTTCCTCAGAGGCTGGACTTGACTTGGAAGCAGCCAGAGTTTTTGGACCACAACTGTTCAGTTGCAATCCTTCAGTTAAGCCACCCCCAAGTCAGGGGACCTTTGGCTCAGCTGCTCCCAACAGGAATTTTTTCACAAAGATTTTGAAACCCCCTCTTAACTGCTGCTAAAGTTCCATTTCATACATGGCCTGGGTTTATTTCAGACAAAATGTTTAAACATATCTGCAATCAGTAGATGGCTGCCAACAAGTTCTCTCAGTAATACAGTTGTCTTAGTTTCACTTTGTTAAGTGCCATGGAGTCGGTTCTGACTCATAGCAACCTTGTACAGGGCTTAGAGGCTGTAAATCTTTACGGGAGCAGAGAACCTCATCTTTCTTCCACGGAAGAGCTGGTAGTTTCAAACTGCTGACCTGGTTCACAGCCTAAATCGTTACCACTATGCTATCAGAGCTCCTTAGGGTACATTTAAAAAATGGCCTAATCAAAGCTGTCTTCCAAGGGAATCTGTCGGACCAGTTAAGTTCAAGGCAGAGGGCTCAATTCAGAAAGTTATGGTGACTCTTTTGGGTGATTCCAGAGGGATAATCTTGAGTTTCTTGATGGGCAAAGGATGATCACAGGTTGTTTTATGAAGAAGTTCTAAGAAAATTGGAGACCTGCATTAGTAACAAAGGCCAGGAAAGTTGCACTGAGGAATTTTTTCCATCGCAACAATGTACCAGCCCACTCTAAGGGTTCTACAAAAAATTCATTGAGATAACCTTACCCCATTTACCCTCCATCCCTGATTTTTCCCTTTCAGACTTTATTTTTCAAACTCAATATTATAAGGAACATGATTTGAGTCCCACCTGAATGCCAAAACTTATGTTTTGATATGTAAATCAAAGAATACAGTATTCTAAAGCAAAGGGTTAGATTGATGGAAGACCACCTTTAGAAGTCTATAAACTTAGATGGAGGCTGTATTTTTGTTTTACGTTTCCATTGATATTGTAGCAATGCTTTTTGACTAATCCTCAAATGTTTTTGTTGGGTAATTCCTAGGAATGGAATTGCTAATTCTTTAGTTGTTGTGTGTATAGCAGTGCTGTGGTTTTATTTTGTGGTTCTGTTGATCTGTTTGCTAAACAATCTGCGAAGCTGGATTACATGAAGAAGAATGTGGCGTCAGGATGCAAGCACTTTCTAAACTCACCTTTGTAATTGAGAGCACTTCAAGAACCCTTCATGGAAC